TCGTGTGCAACCATACATTGTAGCGGCTTCGAACAGCTAAGGCGTATGTGGTGCCTTGGCCGCCACAGAACTAATAATGGAATATATAAAAAAAGATAAGAACTACAATAAAACGCAACTATTACAAATAAAACAACATGTAGCTAATAGTTTTATTTCCAAATATTCAAAATATTGGGCAAATGTTAATCGAGCACGAGCAATCTTTGTAAAAAAGTACACGCAGTTTATGGAAAACGAAATTAAAATATCATTTGAAATGATGCGCCCCAAACCTGCTATTATTAATCCCAATGATAGTTCATCGTGTGGCAATGTAGGGAATCGTGGTCGTGGCCGTCCACGCAAATGGTACGAAGATTGTAGCAGTAAGACCCAAAAAAGACGGTCACATGAGCTTCGTAGCAAGTATAGCCAAGAAGAGTTGGGGGCAGCTGTTGCACCCAACAATAAAAAATACTGCAAATATTTGCTACCAGAGAATGAACAGAAAGAATCATTTATAAATGAAGTTCTGGCAATGTATATAGACTTGGGTCTATCAAAGAGAAAATACGAATTGCTTCGAACTTATAGTGAACGCTTATTCGGAGATAAACTTTATCCTTCTTATGCGAAGATTCAGGCTGCTAAAAAAAAATGTTACCCTGAAAATATAACTGTCACTGAAAATGGTGCTGAAATCAAATTACAATCCCTTCTGGATCACACAACATCTCAAATCATGAAATCACTACCAAATCAAGTTTTTCCCGATATAGACACTGAAAAGTTAACTTTACATGGAATGTGGGGAATGGATGGTGCTTCTGGCCAACAAAATTTTAAACAAAAGTTGTCAACAAATAACGACGAAAATACAAAAGTTATGTCTGACAGTACAGTGTTTATTATATGTTATGTGCCGTTAATATTGACAGACAGTCGCGATAGTAGTTGTGTTTTATGGAAAAATGATAGGCCATCCTCTGTAAGATTTTGCAGACCAATTAAATTTAAATTTGCCAAAGAAACAGCATCCAACACTTTGGAGAATTACAATTTCTATATGAATGAAATTAAAAATCTGCAGCCTACAGCTATAGTGGAAAATGCGTCCAATAAATGTTTTAAAATAGCTCACGCTTTATATTGTACCATGATTGATGGTAAAGTGTGTAATGTGTTAACAGGCCAGAAATCGACGACATCCTGTAATATATGTAGAGTAAGCCCATCACACATAAATAATTTACATTATGTTTAAAGATTGCATAATGCCGAGCGATTATCCTCGGCCGCAATTACCGTTAATCCTGTTAACGTACAATAAGTAAGAGATTATCTCTAATTGGATTTGTATAGCGAACGGTGATTGAAAAACGTGTGTATTATTAGTTTTTCTGGCATCGGTAACGGCTCATTACCTTTCGATTCGAGTGTTCTAACGGTGTTAGTGACGTCAGTACCGTGAGAGAGTAGTGCGCCGATAATGTGACAAGGAGAGACGGCCGAAATTCAGACAGCGCCACGGATCGACCAGTAAGAGTACCGCGGCGACGTCTTCGGCTGTCAATCCGTATCATTCTTACGGCGACTTCTGAACGAGACGCATCGGCTCCCGATCAGATTCGATCAGAAGTTAATCGCGATTTAAGAGGGAAAATCCTCTTGCGAGAAAGCCGAAAAGACTGCTATTGTTAAAAGGGTGTAGCGAGCCTTGCTCGAAAAGGTCGGAAATTCATTCCCACCTTGCTTGAAAAACGCGATTCGCATCTCGATTCGTGCAAGTTCACCTGATTCTCGATCGAGCAAATCTCGATCGAGTTTAATTAGTTTAAATTTACTGCATATCTTGGAGGGCTCGAGAATACACCAATAGGGTGTTCGACCCCTCCTGTGCGGCATTTAACGGTCGATTCCAACGTATACACGTTGAATCATACAGAAGTCGGCGGTACCGTCCATACTTCTGTGTGATTGCTAGGCATGTGCGAGACCCCGAAATATCGGGTCGGGTCGAGAACACGAAATTTTTTCGGGATCGGGTCGGGTTCCCGACAGTTTCGAGACTTTTAAATTTTCGGGATTCCCGAAAAAAGTCGGGATTCTCGAGGGATTCGGGATTCTCGAAGGAGTCGGGATTCTCGAAAGAGTCGGGATTCTCGAAGGAGTCGGGATTCTCGAAAGAGTCGGGATTCTCGAAATAATCGAGATTCCCGAAAGAATCGGGATTTCCGAAATTTCCGAGAGCCCACTAGTCATTTATATTCGTTTTAATGTATACAGGGTGAGTCTCCTAACATGACGACCTCAAATAACTCGTAAGGTATTCATTGTACGAAAAAATGTTTGAAACAAAAGTTGCATGGTATCTAGAGGAACATACAGTGCTCTAATCTGTTTTTTATTAACTTATTTTTTTATTGAGATATTAGGGTCTGGGTTAGGTCTGGGTTATTTGAGGTCGTCATGTTAGGAGACTCACCCTGTATACATTAAAACGAATATAAATGACTAGTGGGCTCTCGGAAATTTTCGGAAATCCCGATTCTTTCGGGAATCTCGATTATTTCGAGAATCCCGACTCTTTCGAGAATCCCGACTCCTTCGAGAATCCCGAATCCCTCGAGAATCCCGACTTTTTTCGAGAATCCCGAAAATTTAAAAGTCTCGAAACTATCGGGAACCCGACCCGACCCGACTCGACCTCTTCCCGATTCGTCCCGACCATCGGGTTCCCGATGTTTTCGGGGTCTCGCACATCCCTAATGGCCAGAAATGTTGTCCGAAAATTTCATGCGGATCTTTAAAATGTCATAAATTCTGAACGGATTGAAAGATTTTAATTTTCAAAAATGCAAACGACGCATATTTTACAAAAATATGCAAAAAGTTGATCCTTGACCATGCAAAATGAGAAAAACCCCATAAAAATGGTCCAATCTTCAAACAGCCATAATTCCTACAATAGTGAATATATTTCAATGAAACTTTTTTCTGAAGTAGAGCTCATAGGTACCTACAAAAAAGTATTGGCCAACTTTTTTGTAGGGCGTCAAACAAAATTATTAAAAATGAAAAACGAATTTTTAAGAAAAATTGACAGGGTGCCTAAATTTTTCAGCGAAAAAAAAAAATTTCAAATCGTTCTAAAAAAATTATATTCAGTTGCGGGAGTCAATTTCAATCATTTTTGGTCAATATATATACCCCCGAAATCCTACGCACTTTTGAGAAAAAAATTCGAGAATGTGTGAAATTTTTCAATAAAATTAAAAAATTTCAAACCATTCTGAAAAAATTATTTTCGGTTGCAGGGTTCGATTACAATCATTTTTGGTCATTACACATTCCCCCGAAATCTTGGGCATTTCGGAGAAAAAAATTCAGTACGGGCGGAACTTTAAACGTTAATAATTTCTTAACGAAGCCTCCATCAACAAATTGGTATTCTTGCATTTTTCCCGATTTTGTCCTCTAGAAGTAGTGCAAGCCTACAGTGCTTCATTAAAATCAAAGTTAGAACGGCTACTACCATAATGGATGTGCGCGCAAGATGTAAATCATCAAAATCTGCAAAACTGTAGGAGGCAATTTTAAAAAATCGCATACCAATGGATTTGGAATAAAATGCTCGTCATTTTTTGTCATTATGAAAATTTCAATAAAATGAAAAATTAAGTTAATAAATTTTTTTTTGTTATAAACAAATTGTATTTTTTTAAATTTTTTAACACCATGTTATTGTACATAAGAAACCATTAACCTCGCCCATTAACAATTTTTTTGTATCTCTTTCCGTTTTCGAGATAGCCGTTTCGAGCCAAAACTTCAAGGGGTGGTTTCACCCCTTAAACTCGAGTTACCGCAGCTAAAAAAAAATACGTGTCGATTATTTTTGGCTGCTTTTTAAGTGTACAAAGTTTCATCAAAATCGAAGCCGGACCGTTCGCGATGGTTCCTTGTGAGTTACCGAATTTTGTCCATTTTAGCTCGATTTTGCCCACTGTGCGCCGGGGAGACCTCTCCAGACCTGTACCACCGTCGGAAATTTTTTCAGACGGAGGGAATGATCTCCGAAATTTTTTTCAGACTCCGATTCACCACCGGAAATTTTTTTTTTTTTTTTTTCTTTCGAGGGGAGGGACAACCTTGGTCCACCACCGCGCGAATCGATATGTAGCGAATCAATGCCGCATCGATCGGAGAAAATGACATTGATATGCAATATTTGCAATTGTATTTATTCTGAAGCAAATCATTCTTCAAAATGTTTATTTCAATCTTAACGTCGCAGCGTAACGCGCGATTGCATGTAATTTGAACCCCCTCGAGCAGACGCGCCGAATGACATCATTTAGCTGCATGAAGAACTGCATAAAGAAATATAAGACTTTTGAAACGTTGCATCTTAGAATTAGGTGGCGAGGAGGGAGATGGTGGAAGACGGATAAAATTGGAGAAATAATATATGTTTTAAATGATAATATATTGTTATGTTTTTTCTTACGAGCATCAACTACAATATCATTGATGGCGCACGCTAACAGTTCGCAATCTACAAGATAATCCCTGCAGTAATATTGCGCGATTCAATATGTAGCGAATCAATGGAAAAGATAGGCTAAAAATAAATCTCCAGGAACGCGCAAACGCGTTTTTAGATTACCTTGAACACGTCCAAACGTGCAAATTCTATGACATCACATTCGCGGTACGAATCGACCGAAATCATGTGTATCATGCGAATTTTTTATGTCACATGTTCTTCTTCTTCTGCGAAAAGTGCAATGTTTGCAAATACCATTTATATTACCATGAACACGTGCAAAAATGTAGCCTCAGCAGAACGTATAACATTGACGAGCATTATGGATGCGGGAAAAGAAATTAGACGCCTTTAAAATATGATATATTTATTAAAGCAACAAATGATTATAAAACATTAGTTTTATCGAGTCGCCGATAAGAAGATGGAGAGGCATGTCAATTTGTTGTATTTAGAAGGAGCAAACGACATGGGACATTTCGCATGGATCAAGAATTTATCTCGTCTCGTGAGCACGCAATTGAGTAAACATAATAGTCGAAAATACTTTTGTGATAGGTATGTATAAAATAAATTTACCTTCAAGGATAAAAGTCTCGACACGTGTTGAATGTAATATAATATCTGGGGAAGCGTCGAATCTTAGAATTATGCGGAATCAGCAGAGACTGTGTTTCGAACGATCTTGCACACTAATTCATCATATGCATGAATCACGGGACAGAATTATACGATATCCGCAGAAACTGCATAGAACCATGTTGGGACGGATTGTCATTTTTGCATGCAATGCATGCGAGGGAACACCGAAAGAGTTTGGCAAAGATACCAAATGGGCGTGGTGATATAAAAACACGCTCTAAACTGCGCGTAGTCTCAAATTGTTGTAACACGTTGCATGGAAAATACGATACATTTACATTCCATTTTCAACCATGGAAGAATTCGCGAGAGTAGAAGGTCAATTGTTGGATCGATCTGAACGATTGATTTCACGGGGGGAGTACCTCGCGTGGGAAGAACTGTGCAACGAGTGTATCGAATCTTTAGAAGAACACAGCCGAGTGAAACGCCCGCGATTATCGATCGGCGTTCAACAATCGTTGGTTGTTCGAATCGCGCGACTCGAAGGACTGAAACATACCTTGCGCGGCCGTTTCGTACGCGAAGGTGCTGGACATTCTAGCAGAGGACTTTTGTGGCGCGAAATAGACACTTTCAACGCGTTTGATAATCGCGTATTAACTGGTGCCGGAACAGGGAGGCAGCGATGTAGGACATTTTGTCTGGATCAAAGACTTATCCCGACTAGTGGTCGCGCAGTTGAGCAGACACAAGAGAAAAAAATATTTCTGTGACCGGTACGTATAGAAATTTATGAAATGTTCCCAATGAAAAAAAGATTGAATAAAAAATTTTTTTTTTTTTGGTTTGGCAGATGTATGCACTATTTTGGCTCTGCCGAGAAGTTGGACACCCACACAATTGACTGCCGCGAGATAAACAACTGCGCCATCCTGTTGCCCAGCCAGGACAGTAAATGGCTCAGTTTCGATAATCGCGGTAGGAAGGAACGGCTCCCCTTCGTAATATATGCCGATCTGGAGTGTGTCCTGCAAAAAACGGTGGACACCCAAAAGGATGCGGAGAACCGCAAATTGTGCATGTACCAGAAACATGAGGTACATAGTATTGGTTATTATATACATTGCTCGTACGATGCATCGCTGTCGACGTATCGATGCCATCGCGATGCGGATTGCGTTTCATGGTTTGTCAAAGAGTTGAAAAATTTTGCAAATTTTGTTAAACCCATTCTGGCAAAGAACACACCCATGCTAGATTTAACAACTGAGCAGTTGTCGGTATTTCGCAATTCGACACACTGTCATATTTGTGAAGAATCATTCGAGGCTACAGATATACGAGTCCGCGATCATTGCCATCTATCAGGGCAGTTTAGAGGCCCAGCACATTCAGAGTGCAATTTAAATTATAGAAATGCGTTTATATCCCCATAGTTTTTCATAATTTATCCGGCTACGATTCCCATTTTATTATCGAAGAAATAGCTACAGCTTTCGAAGGCCACATTACTGTATTACCCATTACTAAAGAAAAGTATATTTCATTTACGAAAAATGTCGAAGATACGAATGAAGAATCAGACTCACGATATTGTATTAAATTGCGATTCATCGATTCATAAAAATTTTCAAATACCAGTCTCAACAAATTAGCATCTTTTCTTAGCACAGATAAATTAAAAATTTTACGATCTCAATTTGAAACATCCATCGAAGATTTCTATTTATTGACGCGGAAGGGTGTATTTCCATATGAATACCTTGATCGCGCGGACAAACTGCTGGATCCATGCTTACCGCCACGCGAGTCTTTCTACAGTTCATTAACGGGTGAGACTGTATCCGAGACCGATTACGCGCACGCCGAGACTGTCTGGCAGCGTTTCGGCATTAGAACCTTGGGCGAATACAGCGACTTGTACTTTAAAACAGATGTCTTGTACACTAGATTAAGATGATAGTTATAATTATTATGTAAAAGTGGTGTCATATACGTTCAAATGGGTACCATACACGTTCAAAGTGGTACGATTGATGTTCAAAAGTGGTACATTAGATGTTCAAATGTGGTACATTGGATGTTCAAAATGGTATGAGACACGTTCAAAAGTGGTACCCCTACATGTTCACCTGATATGGACTAGTCGAATAATCGGTTTAAAGAAGAAGGAGAAGTGATTCGGCTTAGCCAATGATACATGCAAGGAAGAATGGAGATGGTCAACAAAGATTTCGAAGATCATGAAGAACAAAGACATCCTATTTTGCAAGCTATGCGTCTTTCGAGATATACGTTTACATGCATGAGCCTGCAGATGCAGCGAGATCAGTTCTCAGTCGACATTCAACAGCAATATGGTAAATTCGAGAATTATTCCTGCATTCGAAGGATTGCCCCGGCGAGACAATGAGGAGGTATGTACATACCAATGTTTATGGCATTTATTACATGTGAATATTATATCAGTTATTGTGGGTTCTAGAACGATCCGTCTCCGCCGCCCTCGCCGTCGCCACTAAGCACCCCACACGCCACCAGCCACACCATCACCGCCATCCTCGCCATCGCCACCGCTCCAGCGTTTCGAGCGATTACAGAGATTGAGCATGCACTTTCCGTACTTCCGATGGCCTCGAATGCAGAATTTCGTCGACATCGATGGGCCCCTACGGCCGCCCCGGCAACTGCCGCGGCTCGCGTCGCCACTGCCGCCGCCGCCGCCGTTGCCGGAACAATAATTTTTTTAATTTTTACTTTTTTTTATTTAATTTTTAGTATTTTAATTTATTTTTTTATTATTTTTTTATATACAATAAAATATATCATATTTTAAAGGCATCTAATTTCTTTTCCCGCGCCCATAATGCTCGTCAATGTTATACGTTCTGCTGAGGGCTACATTTTTGCACGTGTTCATGGTAATATAAATGGTATTTGCAAACATTGCACTTTTCGCAGAAGAAGAAGAACATGTGACATAAAAAATTCGCATGATACACATGATTTCGGTCGATTCGTACCGCGAATGTGATGTCATAGAATTTGCACGTTTGGACGTGTTCAAGGTAATCTAAAAACGCTTTTGCAAAAGTTGCACTTTTCGCAGAAGAACACGTGACATAAAAATTCCTCTCCCCGCACCTCGCTTCCCTTGATGCATCGTTACATTTTTTTATGTGCTGCACACTCGTTTTGATAGTATCGTCGTCACCGTCGTCGTGAAACGTTATCTATTGGATTCTACAAACATGAATTACTACATTTCTCGCGAAACGGCGTGCATAAGTCGCGAGTAAGTGTTATTATCATCATTTCCTTAGCGTTATTACTTACCTTTCATTCTTTACATACTTTTTCTATATGTTACGATAGCAATAAACAACGTTCGACGCCTTATATACTGGGGAGGAGGTTTGCCCTCACATCCACGGCATACAAGTACCTGGATATTAGAATCGCGGTAGGACCTGTGTCCGCTGTGGAAATTATTCTTGGCGATACTCGAGGAAATGTGTTGTTGTTGCCACACTCGACATGGGCGACATTGATCCAGAAACGCGAGGATATCGAACAACATGTAAAATCAGCTCCTTCTCCGTCATATTTATTACACTGTAACCCCCTACGGGATTATTAGCACAAGTATACATAAAGAGAGAGAGAAAAAAGAAAAAAAAATAGTTTTACAAAATTACATACATGAGATAGTGAACTTAGTAGCTACTTATACAATATGTAGAACGAAATTACAATTGAAGATCATGTTTCTTAATGAATTTAAATATAACCATCATAGGAGGTATAAGTGGTTGAAAAAGGAAAGCATCAATCGTGTACGGAGGGAAATAGCCTTTAGAGCACAGCTGGTTAATCATGTCCGGTCTGCCAGAATCATATAAAGGACATTGCCATATGATATGATTAAGATCCTGCTCTGGATAATTACATTGGCACCTTGTGTCTGGTGCAAGATTGATTCGGACAAGTGAGACAGCTAGTTGAAAGTGATTAGAACGTAATCTGTTGGTAAAACAAATAAAATCCCTAGGAAGGGCTTTTCGAGTGAACCAAGGAGTTGCAGAATCGCTATAAAAGCGTGCAAAATATTTGGTGCCCTTGTGAGAGGCTTGAGCATGAAGCTGTCTCACAGTCTCATTCTTAGCCTCTCTTTTGAATACTTGATAGAAGTCAGTGAAGGGAACCTGGAAATCAAATGACGGTTCGAGGCGAGAAGCTTCTTTTGCTAAAGTGTCGACATACTCATTATAAAAGATACCAGAATGAGAAGCGATCCAATAGAAGTGGGGTTTTTATATTACGTAGAGCCAGGTCATGAATAATATTTTTGATATCCAACAAGATTGGGTTAAAATTAACATTTATGGTGAACTTAGAGAGGGAGAAAAGAGCACTCAGACAATCAGAATAAATGAAAACATTATCAAATGAATGCTTAGAGGCACATACTAAGGCATTTTTGATAGCAAGACATTCTGCAGTAAAACTGGAAGCCCATTTATTCAGCGCAAGCAAGGATGAGACATTAATATCCGGAGAAAGAAAAGCAGCACCAACATTACCCTCATCATCTCGGCTTCCATCAGTAAAGAATGAAATCGAATTTGACGGTTTATTACAGAATTGTTCCAAAAAGTAGACACCGGGGTCACCTGAGTTTTTAGCAGAACGACCAATATCACAATTAACCTCAGCAACAGATTGGAAAGCTTCATAGCTGTACAAATATGAAGAGAAGTTTTTGCCGACTCTAAGACAGGATTTAATATGAAACAGAGAATTAATTTGAATAGGAAGAATGGAATGACACTTGCCCACTAGGCCGCACCAAAACGAAGAAGATGTAATTTTATGAATACAGTTATATAGATCAGTTCCAGAAACGGATAGCTTCTTGATTAAATATTTTTTGCAAAGGAACTCGGCTCTGTTGCGAAGAAGCCATATTTTTGATTCTCCCAACAGGATATTGGTAGGGGTGCTAATTCTATAGCCTAGGGCAATGCGTAAGGCAGAAAATTGAATTCTTTCTATTCTCAGAAGACGAGAGTCTGATCTAGGAAAGTAAATAAAACAGTTGTATTCAACAATGGGGCGAATAAGACTTTTATATAGGGTGACCAGGGTGGTCGGGTCAGCTCCCCATCTGATACCAGAAACAAATTTGAGAATACTAAGTTTTTGAAGGCATTTGTCACGAATAAACTCAATATGATCTTTAAAATGAAATTGATAATCAAAAATGATTCCAAGAAATTTGACGTTTGAACTAGACTTAATTTTATA